ATGCCAGAACGAGAGACCCTTCTTCTCTTATCAAGGATTTCACTCTTTTACAACTTCTTTCTTCAAGCTCAATGGCTATAAAGTCGACATTTGAGGACAAGTCCCGGTATTAGGCTCACTAGTAGGAACCGCCACAGGAAATGGACCGATCTCTTCCACTTTCAGTCCTTTTCGTAGCTCAACCATCAACTTACAGAGCGCTCCTATAGAGCAGTTTTAACGGATTGTCTAATTACTTAGGTCAGACTCATAAATAGCTGAAGCTCCTGAGTAAAGATAGGTGGATCACAATGTGACGTGAAAAAAGGTAAATTTCAAGGTCGAGTTATTAGAAAGCGTGTTCATTATAAACAACTGCGCTGCACTGCGCAGATTCCCTTTATATGTTAACAAAATCGGTTCGCTTGCAGCTTTTTCCCCCAACCACCGCTTTTTCACCTCCTAAGCCACGTGTATTGTCCATTCGCCTCCCCCGCAGGCATGAATTTCGGGAGTCGGACGACACATGACCGACCCAGGATCTGATCCCAGACCGTGCGGGTGGTGAGTGGCACCGCTTGCCTTTAGACCACTTCTGTCGATTAAAGAGCACATGGGTACAAAAACTATCACTGCTGAGTAATTAGAATGACATAACCTATGCTGCGAGCTCATAGGATGCGCGTGCACGGAAGTCATCTGTCCAAATACTGTGAGGTGAAAGAACCTGAATAAACCAGAACGCGAACCACGAGGTACGGATTTCAGATCACCCACAACGCCTACTCGAAATGACTAAGATGATAAGTGAGAGTTCGAGCTTATTCGGGTCAATTCTATAAAGTTATGCATTGAGGCGACGCCTCCAGTAATTGTCCCAAACTCGCTCCCAGGAATGTCCTCTTAAATATCATAATTATAAAAACGAAGCATTAACAGACGATCACCAATCCAACTGCAGTGAGCTCACATTTCACCCAATTTGCAACTAGAAAGAAAAAAGGGTACTTATTTTGGAAGGTACACCACCACTTTCAATTGAAAGTCACCCTTAAGCTTATCCGGGTTTATGGCCCAAGCTCTCCTTGCAATTCCAGATCAACTGTCGTACAAGTTACCTCTTATTTGATCGCTGCAGTCCTGAGCCTGGCTTCAAGACCTAGCTTGAATCATCGCTGTGACCTGACTTGTGGACAAACGAGCGATCTCCACTTGTCACAGACGAGCAGGGTCCAGAAGAACAACCAAGTTTTGGCAAAGACGCAATAGAAATATGGATTAGAATTATTCTAAGAAAACCAGGACCTCCAGACGAGTTCAGGAAGTGACACATCGAGTACCTGTCCTGTTCTAGCACAATTTGCACCGATTGGGTCTCCACTTGTTAACCATACCAATATAATACCTGTTATTTTTGTTTATTTCCCTCTCACTCTCGCCCCCCCCCCCCCCCAACTCACATTTCCCGCTCTTCACCTTTTATTTGCTCATCAAGAACAAGAGCTGAACCTCATCATTCTTCGAGAATCTCCCATTAAACCGCACATAATAGACGCTCTTCAGTTGGAATTTATGATGAAGATAGGTAGAAAACTGGTTTAATTTTTATTTCTGCGGGAACCTTAATGACAACTATTCAGTATTCACACCGAACCCAGCACATACCCTACCTATGTGGTTGTTAATAAATAATTACTCAAAGGGCAAATAGTTCGACAGACAGCCCGCTGTGAACCCGCCCGCCTCTTGACGAGTCAGCGCCAACCGGCAGTCTACCTCAATCGCAAATTGAAGATTATCGGCGTTGACAACGACGACCTCGCCGCATTTTTGAACGAGTTTCTCCTCTGCTCGCAGCTCAGCTATTCATTGGTTAAGCCAGGCCGTAATAGCCGGCCGGCTGAAAGGGGCGGTGCCACCAATTTGTAAGCCTTATTTGCTGACGTTCGTGTACGCGACTAGCACGGACGGATACTGTACGAACGACAGTCGGCTTATATCGCCGTAGTGTGCATGCGATTCGAAGGCAAACAATAATTGAGGCGAATGGAAATGTTTTCCCGGCTGGAGATTAATTCGTCTCGGCACGTGCCGTGACTCAGCTATGGGACGATTCGCAGCCGTCGTCTGACTCAGCCTAACCAGCCTAGCGCTCACCATCACCAACCACGACGTATGCCTGCACGACTACAAAAGCCTCAGCCAAGAAGGGGACCGATCTTTATGTGGTTTGAAGGGACGAACCTAAAAAATTTATGCCTGATAGTGTTAGATTGATTGGTAGTGTTAATTTAGGATCCCTGGCAGGGGTGTTCCCGGGGCTGAAAGGTAAAGGAGCCCTGAGCTCTGAATCTGTGAACCTGTGACCGCGTACAACCCCTCACTCGTCAAGAGAGCTCGAGAACGAATGCTGACCAACTGAGGCGTAACTCCGACCCATTCGAAAGGATCACTTCAAGCAGACGAAAGCCGTAGTCCTCGGTAAACCCGGGTTTCCAAAGAGGAGGAGACTACCTCTGGTCAGGGAACTGTCAACCCAGGCTCAGCAGGTGCATTCAAAGGGGAAATTGTAGGAAGTTCTCCTCAGCGACCTCTTTGATACGCTCTGCTACATTTAGAGCTAAAATTGATGACGAAGGGACCCCACTTCGGGGTGTCTGCAGCATGCTCCAGCCAGAAAGCGATCTCCAGGATGCACAAGTCTGTGACGGAGAATTTTTCGAACGCTGGGAAATCGTTTCCCTGGCAGAAATGGGCAAACACTCGAGGTGCATGCTGCATAAGGCCGCTGCTTAAATATTATTTTGTGCAAGGTAGATCTCGAACGCTCTAGGTTCGAGTTGGCCACGACCTATATGATCCAGTTACTACCTATTGGCAATTTCAGGGATTCCGATGGACTGCCGTGGTGCAATTAAACAACTGATTTGCTATGTTTGCCCCGTAGTTCCTTGAATGGAGTCTTCTTGAAAAAGGTATCTTGGAGGACTCCATCACTAGAGCCCTTGAAAAACTTCGATGACCACTCCGATTCGTCCCTCTCATTCAGAGTCCAGGGAGCTCTCAAGGGCGGATAAGGCAGGTAACTTAACCGACACTGTCGGCTAATTTTCCGCCGGTACTGGAATGTTAAGGTGTCACACCGTATCTCAAAAACATTGTCAGGTAAAGCTTATTGAGTAAGCCTCAAAAGGCTCAAAAGTCTCAAGGGGATCAAGGCAAATCAACTTAGACAACTAAATTTAGAAAGCTTTAGGCACGGGTCTTGGGTTGGTAGCCAAACCCCGTGGGAAAAGGTCAAGGCAGCCCCTCAGGAACTAGCCAAAAACCTCAAAAACAACCAGAAAGGAGACCAGAGCGTATAATTTTTCAAAACTGAAAGATCCGTATCAATGGATCGATTCCATTTCCCCTGATCCCAGCCTACATCAAGCGTGGGAACCAATCACGCGCGTGCGCGCAACCGTTCGTTCCGCGTGAGAGGTTCTCGTGACCTTTAGCTCTAAGCGATATCACATTCCCCCGGCTAATCACAACAACATTAAACCCGTCAGGCACACGCCATCAACGCCACTGCTATCCACATGAACTTTCCTTCTAAGTGACCGTAACCCTTATCAAGACAAAGGCGGGCATTAGCGGGCCCCGTCGCGCCACGGACGCCCCATTCCCACATGAGTCGGCAAGTGATTCAGCGGAAATCGCGCATCTTAACCGGTAACAATGGAAAACACACTAATGTGTAGCCACATTGGATGAATCCACAGGGATATTTAAGAGCAACTCGAAGTCTTGAATAGCCATTTTACTAGCCCGCGTGAAATATCCTTCATGGATATTGCTTTAGGTAGCCCGCCACCCTTCCTCAGCCAGACAACGGGGTTGTATTATTAATGATCTGCAGTAGTGCTGATTAAGGGCGAGATAACATTCGCAAAGATGTGCGAGATGTTAAGAAATGCCCCATTTGTAGGCAGTTTTGGAGCGGAGTTGAAAGTGTGTGATGTTGAATTAGGCCCAACAAGACTACTGATCCGCTAACAATCGAAAGGTGAACAGGAATGGATAGGGTCTTACATCAGACGTAAAGGGCAAGAGATTTGCGGGTAAATCCTAGTCTTTAACCTAATAATGTCGACGTTCCGATTTCCGATAAGTAACAATCTCGGAAGTTAGAAAGTCCATAGTTCTCATCGAAACTCGCGAAGATAGAATCACAGAGCAGCTTTCCTTTGTGATTGGGAGTTCATAAATTTGAATCGCATAAATTTCAATAGGCATTAGAATCCATGCGGCATGTAATGCCCACTGGTACCATGAATAACTCCGCCCAATAGCAGGCCCCGCCCATAGTTGTTGCGCAATCACTCACCATTTGCACTCGTTGCAGATGTTTCTCGGTTCGAGTGTGGTAGGGCTGGAAATATTCGCTTTTAGATTTGTGTGATAGGGGCAGCAGATGCAACGAAATACGCTCCGCGGTCAATAGAGCTGTCTACCATGTGATGCGTGAACGATCCCTGCAACGAATATTACGGTAGTGGCGAAGACTGGAAGATCTGAATCGTGGTCTGATTATAATGCTGTATGAGCTGTTTTGTTCTTTGAAGCGTCTGGGGGTACTGTACTTGGTATCAGGTAGAAATTATGCTCTAAGACTCTGCTGAAACCTCTGTATTGATGAAAGGTTCTAGATTGAATTTTCTTCTCGTCAAGTTAGGACACCTCCCATCTGATTGTGGCAAGCTTCGCCTGAATTGAAGCCTAACTTCAAGCTTCAGACGTCGCTTTGGTGACCTGATCTGGGGGAGCAATTGGAATATCCATCCTTTACATCAAGGTGCGTCTAAAGTCATAAATAGAACCATAGCCGATAAAGCTTCCTCGTCTTGAGCTCAATGGGCAGGAAGTCGCTGATTGGTTACAGCAGGCCATCAGTTCATTACTACGAAGGTTATAAAAACAACGACAAAGCAGTAATCACCTTATCAGCGTGAGCGATCATCTCATCAAGATCATCACTAGAGAAGCATACCGCACACCACACATACTAACGAACGATCACCGTCCGACGGTGGAGATCGAGCTGGTGGGCAGGGAAAGGGACGCTGAAAATCAATAGCTATAGTTACACTGTGACGAAATTCCTCAGCGCGCTAATTCCACAAGATTTTGAGAGCATTTTATGACACCTCTGTGACTCTGAAAGTCTTACCGATGCTACTTGGCAATTCCTTAGACAGCATCAGTATGTTTGTGCAACTTTGCATATGTATGCTCAGATTTCCTTTCGTCGTCGTGCTGTACTTGCACAATTCACACCTAGAAACTCGACATGAATTTTTTGGAATATTCGATATTTCGGGAGCAGTTCGCCATCTTTCAAAAGAAAATTCTGGAGCAGTGTGACTCCTAGGGGTGGGTGTGTGGGGGGGGGGGGCTGTTGGAATGCCATCTAAGACTAAACCCAACGGCAAGGGACGAATTCCGGAGAGAATGAGAATTGTTTACGCAATCTGATCTCCCTCTTGTCTCTCCAGCCAGGTCCTGAAACAGCGTTTTTGTGAACATGGCGCAATATCAGAGAATGGCTTTCCCGGGGCCACATCGTGCCAAAACTCACCTGGATTTGTTGTTCGCTTCACAAAATCTCTGTAGGGCCAGAAAATACCACAGGTACTCCAACCTTGTTATACTCTGAGGTTCTGATTTTTTTTGATTTTTTTTTTTTTTTGGTTTTGAGGTTTCAACCCGGTTTTACTCTGAGAGAACAAAAATGCGTAGAACTGGTACTACTTGGACAATCATCATCGGTTACTGCTTATCTCACAATAATAATAACAACGTGTACCAAAAAATCCTACCTGTAGGGTTTGTAACCGCACGAATAGCTTTCGCCACGAGCTAATTTTGGATGGGCGCGGTTCTCTGCGCAATAGCCACATTTCACCTGAACAATCTTATATTTACTCTAGAATCTTATTAAATGATGCAAAATTTGTCAACATTTACAAAAAAGTATGAACGCTCATATCAACTGTCACCAAAGCTTCAAGGCCCTTTCAGTTGGCAGCACATCATTTCATTTTTAAGGCACAACCCAGGCAGAAGTCGTGTGAACCATTCCTTTCGATCTGTAGGATAAGAGCCCTAGAGACAATCACAGATGTGACATTTCCGTGCACGAAAATCACCCGACAAGAGCGCTAGGCCTTTGCAAAGTGAGATGTAGCAGCTGCAAGTTTTTCTTTTATCAGGCCTGTTGTTTGGGCGCCCGATCCTGCATGTGTTGTGCTCTTCACGCATTACCTGCTCCTCTCCGTGTTAACGTCCTCATTTGCTTAGATACTCCTACTCTGGCGGAGGTGAGTCAAGCTCCTATCCTGAAGCGTTTTCGCGAATTCTTACTGTTTTTCCTTACTGGCGGCCTGCCTTCGCATCATTTACATACATAATCGTGTACATGAACCTACCCAATTTGATCTGGGCATGCTTTTGAAGGCGTCGTCAATAGGCTGGTGATTTGGGCGATCACTGCTTTGAGCAAACGCACCTCATCCATTGAATCCTCTTTTAACTGGTAAAGCCTGACATTCGTGATTACCTAAGGATCCTTTTGTAATGCCCTTCCAGTTATTTGTTTCCAATATGCCTGGCAAGGGTGTGGCTCAGGAGGATACTTACGAGGTCGAAAGGCTAACGATGTTAGCCGTCGCGGCACCTTCATGGGTAGTAGCCTGTATCGCGATAGGCTCACATCTGTTTTACTTAGAAAGGGTTGCCGTTTCTCCTGTATTATTTCACCATTTTCCTTTTGATGTGCCTTATCCAGAAAATTCATGGGTTAATTAACAGTTCCTGTTTTTGACGAAAGTGGTATTTTTCGAAAATACTCCTGCCACGACTCTCCATGCATAGTGTATTGTAGTTGGATCTTTTGACACAACTGCACACGCTCGTGCATGGTTAACCAGCCTTAATTCGATTTGAGACGGAAAGGCTTATGGTTGGCCGAGGCAACCAGGCACGAATTTCGTGCGCTTCCATGTATGGTTGAATTTCCTGACACACTTGCTCTTGAGAGTTCTCCACAAGGAATCGTGCGACACCACTATTCGTGAATCACCATGTCACCATATTTGTGACCATACGACCAGCATTGCCAGTGTGATCAAGACAAATATACCCATCTGTTCGGAGATTTGTCCATTCTCTCAAGTCCAGCTTAATGACTGGTGGAAATCCCCGCTCTGGAAGTTCGCACATCCGGCTTTCAGATATTCACTCACCTCTCCTTCCGCATGTTTTTCCTTCATATGAATCTCCAGTGTCTCTTGATATTTGTAATGCCAATTGCATTTCGGACATTTTAACGTCTTCGAGGAATTCTAAAAGGCAACATATATTTGATGACGAATCAAATCTATTCCTCTGAGAAAGAGCGATCCGAGCGCTAGGGATGATATCTGTGTTCACTAGCCATTTCCGGCATCGGTCACGAAATGTGTACGCCGCGCAACCGATTCACTTCTGATTTTTCATGCGCCTGCACAATATGTCCCAACTTTGCGAAGCCTCTGACGTTTGTCAAATCTATTCTACCTACACTGATTCGACAAGCGCCATGATATGGTACATATAATATGATATTGTAAGGTTAGATAACCTGGCCTCGTGCCGGTGCGGACACGGAATAGTGACGTTTTGAACAGTGAGGCGTGAAAGGCAAGGAGGAAAGACATGAAAGTTTGTTTACAAACAAAATCGATAAACGGTCATTATTTGGAAAGATCGCTAGTAAACTGAGGCACGGAGGCGAAGTCGTAGTGGCGAACTCGAGGGCGACCGCCGAATACGGGACCACGGACGGGTGCACGGCGCGAACTCTTCCTTGACGTAAGCCACAAAGGCTTCTTACCTTGAGCCGCTAAGGCTAATCAATTCAAGCCACTAAGGCTTATCAAAGAGTAGTTTAGTCTCCGTTTAACGGCACGGCTTTATCTCCGTCTAAGGGCACGTGCGAAACGGAGACTAAACTACTCTTTGATCCCACCCCCTAACTAAAATTTCGACAAAAGTACATAAACAATATTGAGATCCGAAAACAACTTTTGGTTTTACAATCTGAATGAATCAATTATCTTTCAATACAAAATCAATAATTTTATTTTATTATCACTGAGCACATCACGACCCCCCCTAAAGCCACTAAGGCTTCTACTTCGTTATGCCTAGCTTAGGCTCTCTACTCGTTAACGCATCTTAGGCTAATCTCTCGTCACCCTGTGAGCCTAGCTCTCTCCGTCTTTCGGCAACCACTGGCAGCTCCCAAATACCCTTGCCACGCGTGACTCCTGATTCGCCATTATGGGGAACAATTCCCGGCCTGATGAATTCCCTGGTCGGAGACAAGGGTGGTCTCTCATGGCCAGCTGCAGCCCAACTACTCACGCATCCCCTTATGACCCACAGTTTTTGAAAGCCTGGATGATCTCTTGTGATTGGGGCGGCGCTCCGAATATATATTCCTCCACCGTAATATATCAAACATATGCCGATAGCTATTGTCAGAGCAGATTCAGGCAGGAGATTAGGCGTACCATATACCGAAGAGGGATCCGCCTAAAGGGTAGGAGAGATGTATGACTCTTTTTTGAAGAAGGGCGCATTGCAGGAATAACTTCGGCGAAAATTTCCCTAGGATATTACTATAAATTTTGAAAACAAAAAATGCAAAAAATTTCAGGAATATTTTACTCAAACGGCAAATTATAGCAAATTAATCCTAACCATGCTTGCAGGGGAACTTTCTAATGAATGACGACGGAAACCCTAAGAGTCTATGTAAATATTACACTCCAGACAGTGCATAAGCAAGCGAGCTTTATTTGGCAACATTTGATTGATGCAATTATTCCACTCATGCAAAAAACTGTTCGACATTGATACATTTAATTAATTGCAGCCAATTATATGCTTCATTTAATTATACTACTAATGGCTATTCGAACATATTATGTCTCAGTTAACGCGATGGTAAGGAAATGTGGCGTTGATCCGTGTGACAAGAAATATGTGTAGGAGCATGAATCACCACAAAATTTCATTTATTAGATTTTTTTTTCGGTAACGGGAACGACGTTCAAAGCAGGCGTTCCTAAAGAATCGTTCCAGTTTTACGCGCAGCCAGCAATCGTCAAAGGGTGACTTCACTGTTTGCTCTCTAATGTTATATTTTTTTTTCGCGGGTGTCGACCTGCGGCTAGTGATTAGATGCTCGGTGGGCGGACCTCGCCGACCGCGTCAAGAACGAACCCTGCCACGTCGTCGAGGTCAAATTTTTTGGTGCATTGCGTGCCAGTGTCGCACCCAGGAAGTCCGGCCGATTTTACTAGAAAGATTTAATCGCTTCTTCGACGCTCCTTCTAATGGTGAATTCCTCCTACAAATGTCATTACAAACTGGTAAAAAAGTATTAGGCACCTTTTCTAATAGTTCGTTTCTTACATTGCCTTATGTAACGTGTTGATAAATAATAAACAATAAACAATAACCTCGTAATTAGTGTCGTTCTTTCGATCAGAATCTTTGGGCCGGTCACCCCGATAGAACATAGAACCTTCCCCCTATTCTATTTATTTTTTTCTTCGAAAAACCAATCTTGTCCAGTGGGCAAATTCCGCATATGGTACATGATAGTTCAAAAGATTGGGCTGTAGCTCCTGACTCCGCCAGCCAAAAGCAGCATTGCCTTTTTTGAGGAATGCTACACTGCCAATCTATGCAAGATTGTATCTGTTGGAGGGAATACTATAGTTTAGAATGCTCAGCGGTTTTTCATAAGCTTCTCAGAAGACAGACAGGGACAGGACTGGAGTCTTTGAAGTGATGCCCGCAATCGTCGTCAAAAAGGTGGCCCTAGTTAAATCAGTCGAGACGGGGCTGCACCAGTCTTGTGCTGAAATGGTAGGACACTTTAGTAGTGATTGATCGATGATGCAGAAATGCTCACAAGATATTTTGATACATGTCCTCTCCTGCTCATTGCGTGTCTCTAAAATGATGCGTTTTTGATCCCATGCGGCAAAAAAGACTCCGAAAAAAAGGTTTTTTGGTGGAACCCGTTTATTAGTCAACGTTTCGACCGTCGTCTGAAGATGGAAATCTTGCTCACTGACGCAAGGAGGCTGGTGGACTCTTTGGTCCTGAAGACGACGGTTTGTCGAAACGTTGACCAATAAACGGGTTCCACCATAAAACCTGTACGGCACAGAAGAAGAAACACATAATATCGAAATGCCCAGGTTCCAAGAAGACCGAACATTGAATTTACTCCGGAAAAATTGTCTAATTAGGCTGAAAAATTTAAGCTTTTCGTCATACCCTGCTCTGACTAATTGCATACTTCTTTTCTTCATGCCTGGCTTTTCAGCAGTAGACTTTTTTTAGGTGTATGATTTGTCAGATAATGAAAACCGAAGCGCTTTTTTTACTCAAAAAATTCCAAGCTCCACTCGTACGAGGTTTTCACTCATACTGGTAAATGGGAAAAAGCTAATGAGTCATTCGATGATATACTGTTTCACTCCCCGGACCCTGAATTAAAATATTGGTGGTCCGAAACTCGTGGTGAAAAAACGACACTAATTAAGTAATCCGGTGCCTAATAGTATGCATGGCGCATCCTAAGATGATTCCATCCAGAGAGTGCCCTTCATGCTTTACCCTTTGCCAAGATTTCTAGCTGATTGTCAAGTATAAAGGCAGTAAACATGAAGGGTGAAGCGGTTTCGATGGCGTCATTGGACGTTACTGGTAGAGCAGAGCCGTATGAGCGCGCAGGTTGGAACAACCTATGAACGCCTTCCCACCAATTAAACGCATTGAACGTCATCAGACCGCTCCGCCCTCCAGCCGTCGGTGCTCACGTCTTTGAAAGCATCGGCGCAATTCTTACCGGGAAAAGGAGCTGTCATCATTATAAGATCTGCTGAAAGCTTCATTAAATGTTGATTAGATGGTTGAGAAAAGACCGTACCGTAACGCTCCAGCACATCCAAGGTCGCCGTACATGGAGAGATCAATGCCCATTGAGAACGTGGTCGGTACTTCCATCGGAGACGAGGTGATATCATGCGGCAGATCGACACCACTCAGAAGACGTTCCAGATGCGCTTTCGGAGAATGGGAAGAGCCTAGAACAAAATCTTCAATTTTTGGTTTTTTTTCAGATTTTTTCTCACAAAGATTTCGAGTGGAAGTGATTCTAGCGGAATATCAGATCACAAAAACAGTTATAAGAGTTACAGTAAAGCCAGGTATAAGCCTAATGCTAATCATTCTTCACTGAGATGCGCCGTGCACTTGTTATTAGTCCTGAATTGTGAACATTGCTCTGTGTCCGGCTCAATGCTTGCTTTTTTGCTCTAAACGGTAGTACCGCAAATGATGATGGCTTTTTGACGGTTTTCTAGCTCTTTTTAGTAAACATACCCATGAGGTACGAGAGCCAAAACACCTTAGGCCGAAGCACTCATAGGTCCTCAGCCCTTCTGCATTGAAGGCAGCGATTATGATAGGCTGAAGGAAGAATTAGAGGAGACGTGAAGGTGCTGAATGGTACGTAGGGGGCGGAAAAGCGAACACAAATCCGTCAAGAAAACGCAGAATTGACCCCCCCCCCCCTTTTTGGCCGTTCTTTATCACCCATGAACAGGTTACAGTCTCAGAAAGTGGGCGCGATGAATGAGCTCAGTGCAACGCGTTTGGTAACACCATGCCAAATCACATTCCAATTGAGTCGCTCCAGTTGTGTCGGCATGCCCTGGCCAACGCTAGCTCAGTCCTGCCAAAACCAAACAGTAATAACAAACTGAGCTAGGGCGGATCGCTTTTGGGGGCGGAGTGCTTTCGAAGGTCTCTGCTCAACAACCAGCGAACGTTCTGCCGTTGAAGCGCTACACCTCACTTCTCTGGCTGCCAAGTAACTGATTCGTGAGGTGCATATATTCCCCGATGCGCTTCCACTTTATCTCGGGAATCGCTGCCTGTTAACAGGGTGTGCCCTCAAACTGGATGAAATTCCCTTCTTAGCAAACAATAACCACAACTATCACAGAAACCTTAAATGGCCGCGGCTACGGTTTTTTGTGCTCTAGCTTCTGTATTTATTTTAAAGATCCCTCCAAGGATCGAACATTTTTGGGCTAAAATATAATAGAATACACGTCGTACTCCCATAAGGACCTTTTACAGAGTAGCTAAATAAATAAGTTCCCTCTGTGCCTTGGATGAAGCCCACATGTTGAGCAATATTGGTTTGTGGTCAGAAACATTTAGAGACAACAGCTCTAGAGTTTGTAGTAGCTTATAGTTTGTTCTACCCAACGCGCAGATCACGGATCACGCCCCTTATCCAATCTCAATCCGTCAGAGAAGTCATACGATTACTTATGATAGGATAGGATACCACGGAATTTTGGCAAAGAAAATGAAGGTAAATGGGCAAAACGGCTAATTGAAAAGGTCGAAAGGCTGATTTCATATCATTGGGCAAGAACCAGTTCAAATGCCCCGTTTTTCCTGCGGGGCGGTAATACAACCTCATTAATCAATTACAAAAATAAGAGTTCTAAAGCGAAAGTCTCGTTTTGCGGGTTTTCGCATGTTCTTCTTGGTTTCTTCATTGGTATCGTATCGAGCTAATCAACAGTTCCAGTTTCATTTTTTCAGTGCAACATCCAACATTTGGGTAATCGCTGAAACTGCCTTGAAGGAAGATCATCATCTATTATTTTCCTATTAATATTATTATTATTATCGATTTTTACCGTTGCCTTCGGTGAGTAGACGAAGCAGATCTGAAGCGTCCGTGGTAGGGGACGAGTCAGCTGGCGAACCTAAAAATGTGCTATGAATTCCAGTTTTTCAAACGGTAGCTTTCCATATGTAGTTGTACGATTAAAATCTGAGTGGTAGGGAAGGGGCCAACTTCTTAAAATTATTCCTAGAACTACCTGGTACTACATTTTTCAATGAATTGGCCCTAGTTAAAAGCCGTTTCCGGCTGTTTAAAGCTTTTCAAACAACACATTAGCAATTGGCAGGGCCGGTTGGCGGCTTCTATTAAGTGGCCTGAACTAGCGGCTTTGAAATTATCAAAAAGAGTGCAAACTTTTTCAGGCGCTTATACCGCAATTACACTCATCTAAAGGAATTTGCCAAAGTTGGCAGTAAGATTTCAAGTCCGAAACTCTGTCGCTTTCACTCTTTCGCTTTGTGCTGCACAATTACCCTAGAATAAGCCTCGCACTCTTTCCCATTTTGAATCCTGAAAGCAAGCAGATGACCCGTCGATCAGTAACTTTTGGGATGCGCCACGCATTCTTCTTCCATTCAAGTCATAGTGTCATTTTGATGAGATTTCTTCTACACAATAAGTTACTTTGGCCAGTCGACGAGTAAGTCAGCCCTCACCCGAGCGCCTGATAAGCAGGGCCATTCGCCACTGCACCACTTTCGCCAACTGGAAGGGGGCTCGCAAGTTATACTGTAAAAGCAGCTCTTCAAATCGCGAACACATTTTTCGAGACCCCGGTTATTTAGAGGCCTTTGCCTCCACCAATATTTGCGGTAAGGATAGAAGGACTAGGTCCAGCAATTAGCCCATCCACAGGAATTTCAATCAGGAATAACAAAGCCAAGTGCACGGTATCGATATTCTCGGAATGGCGGGCGCGGCCACCTTTTGCTCACAGCACGGTTCACATCCTTCACCCAAGTACTTTCTCTTATAGTCACTTTCTACTACCAACGCTCAATCTTGCTCTAGCTGAATGGGTCCTGTGTCTCCTCCTCTTGATGCTGCCGCGTTAAGTCCCTAAAAACTAGAGTAGACCAACAAATTGCCAGAGGATTTTCAGACTTCCGGCCCTTGAGATAAAGCGTGCAGCCGTTCCTGCAATTGGTAATGCCAAAAAGGAGAGATATACAGTAGCGGTCAAAAGTGGCCGAAACGCTTTTTCGTGCATTTCATTTCTTCCCTCTAAAGAAGAACCTTAAGATTAGTTTGAAGCCTTTCTTTCAGTATCTAAACTCTTCAATAGTCAAGGTTTCAAAGGCTTTAAAGGCATGTCTTATTAATACTTGAAGGGCACTGTTTGAGTGAGAAAAAATGATGCACGAAAAACGTTTCGGCGAACACTTTTGACCGCTACTGTAGGTTCGGAGCCCATGATGAAGAACTGGGGAACTGAATGCAGGATCTCTGAAGATACGGGAAGGAGCCTACCCGTTTTCGAGTGAAGAAGAGCTGAGATAACCTAATTTAGGCAGACAGCGTTGAACAAACCCTATCACAGAGTTTAGTGATCACAGTTTTCCCATTCCCAACCCGATGCAAAGTCAGTACTTTGATTCACATTCTAATGAAGTAAACCTCTGCCCAATTAGTTTGAAAGTTGAAAGTACCCGGCTAGCCGGCTCACTCACCGACCATCATCCTCGATGGACCAGGCTGATTGCCGTCAAATGGCATCAACAACTGGTGCACGCCGAAGTCGGATGACATCAAGAGCGCATCTGGAACAAATCTATCTCGCTCTTGGGCTAAAATCACGACATGCAGACACGGGCTGGCGCTACTTGGTGAAGCGTCAACACAAACACAACAAGGAGAGCCTCTGAAGAAGGTGGAAGAGTTTTCAAGGACCAATGGTATGAAAAATAAATGAAATCGGAAGAGAATCGGAAAGATGGCAATGAATTTTTTGAAAGTTACTTACAAGCTAATCGATAAAAAGAAGGGAACTAATCGGTAAAAAGGAGTTGAAGGGTGGAGCGTAGTATAAAGATTTACTTCAAAAGAAATAGGAGATCATTAATACTCCGGATTGCGCCGCGCACAGACTTTCATCTGGTATCGCCTGTATTTGGGAGTGTGAATCAAGCCGATGAAGATTGATTTTCGAAAGCAGGGCAATAGGTAATTTGGGAGCCGAGGACTTCTTCTACATTCTAATCGAAACCTGCCATCGGTTGGATATTCCGTCAAAGGGAAAAGTGTGATAAAAGAAAAACCTCAAGTTTGATTGTCGGTAGCGAAATACAGAATGTCAAGTCGCCTGCATGTCGTTAGAGATGGGGGAGGGGGGGGATGGGGGGGGAGCGCAGACGGTATTACGTGGAATGAGGGACGATTACGAATAATGGAAAGCTTAAGGCCGATGTCAGACTTTGCGAATCGCGCGATTCGCTAGCGTCTGCGGTCGCGTCGCGGCCAGTGAATCACTCAATTGGCTGGTACCGCAACGCGACCGCGGACGCTAGCGAATCGCGCGAATCGCTAGTAGCGAATCGCGCGATTCGCAAAGTCTGACATCGGCCTTATAAGGGGAAGGGATTCTGAGGGAGAGAATGTGACAACCTCTTGTTCTTTCTAGCGTTTCTCCCCTCTCTGGGGCTTAGTATTGGTGTCACCGTGAACGACGATTTTGAATACCGCTGCTTTGAGTGCCGCTCTAAAACATGAGCACTGTATACTGTTAAAGAAGGAAGAAGCTCTCTGCCAAAGCTCAGAGAGAATTTTCTTTCGTAACCAATATAACTGAAATAATTTGCCTTAGGAGAGTACGAACGAATACCTCTTCCCACCAGTGCCCAGAACGTACCAGGAGACGTGGTGATCATAAGGAAACAAGAAAGGAAGGTTATAGGGCCCAGCCAACAGCCTCACTTAAAGCGTTGAGAGCTGCTAGCGTTTCCTAACCATACGAAGTAGTCCATTCTGTTGATCCAAGAGTTAAATTACGCAGTGAAATCCGCGTTCAGCTGCCTTTAACGCGGCGCTGAGTATTAAACGTCGACGACGGCGCTAAATGGCGTTAATGAGTGGCGATGGTGGTGGTAGCCGGGGGTTCTGAATATGACCGTGCCTGAAGCTCGCTCGAGCCAAAAATGCGCAATGGATCGCAATGCAAACAGTGCGTAATTAGCCGCGAATGATGTGGTCTGGCCACAGATACGCAATTAGGCAAAAGCCGCCGTCGTCACCACCACCACCATCGTCGAAGCCACTGATAGAATAAGTGAAATCGAGTAAGCATTTTCAGATTTTTTTTGTGCCAGATTTGAAAAGAAACTCGAATTTTCGCAGTTGCTAAAAAATGAATGGCGCCATCAATTGATAAAAGCAAACAGCAGGCAAGAAGGCATTCTGCTGAGCGGCTTCAATGGAATGAGCCATGCACCCGTACAACACCAAAAAATCCAACTGAGGGTTTTGAATGATTCCAAACTCCTTGAACAGAAAATTCAACTACAGTCCGAGTTAGCAGCTAGCTTTCTACCATTCCCTAGATGAAACCTGATGGTAATCACTACTTCTCCCACCTTCCCTCACCATCCCCTCCCACCTCTGTCCTCGCCCTCTGTGAGCGTCTGTAGTAGTGGTAAATGAGAATGGTATTTCCCCATTGACTTGAGCATGAGCCAGGCTTTCAGATTTCTCCGAGATAACGAACAGAAAGAAATGAGGACTTAGTATATAGTTACTAATGCTGATATAATTAGTTGCTTGGGGCATATCAAGCGGTTGCATCGAGATGAAGAGGTCCACAAGGTTTCAAGGTAAGCTCCACTCACTTGAATTCAATCTCCTGAAGATTCCTGGAAAGATAATTGTCCGGGATTGTAACTAAAAAAGAGCCCAAGTCACGGGTGGCACCATTGCTATTCCCACCGGACTGAAAGTCGGATGAATTATTCAGCAATTGATCTATCCCTTTTGGATGCGCCGTAGATTCCACTCGAAATTAGAACCGTAGTAACATTCGAATGCGATTTGCTACCAAAATAAAGAGCAGACGAATAAGTCCGTGATTCTGTCGGTCCCGGCGAGTCTGGCATTAAGCCACCGACCACGAATAGACCGAGCGATTGCGTGGCCTGTACGAGATTCAAGCCGGGATTTGACCCCGGCCAGGCGCAAAGCATTGTGCCATTTGCTACTCACTACTTCCGCCCAGCCTTTAGCTGGACAAACCCTGCTCATTTCATTCTTTTTGATCTTTCGGCTTCATCTCAGCTAATGGACCACTTTTTCTGGAATTATAATCATCCGTTGATTACAGTATTCGACCAAGTAGTAGTATTCAGAGAAATTAAGTCAAAAATAAGGCCTTTAATCAGAACAAATATTATGAATCGCACCCAATTCCAGAACTCATTACCATAAAAGCGCTAATGGAACGGTGACAAGTGAGACTGGTACCACATGAATGACAGATGAACTGAACCCTGGTTTCAGCCCGATTCGGGCCTATCTGGCCTTCTGATCCTCCGAGTCCTGCTATTCAGCATCTTCGTTCGTCAGAGAAAACAAGCTGATATTAATTGTAGGACGTTAAACAGTGTTCCCGCAAAGCCATTCGTGTTAACTAGTGCTAGTTGAGAACCATTACGATGTGCGAAATGAAGCGGCAGTGTCATGCGCATAACAAAAAGGGGAAAGGATATCAGGAGCTGAGTTTCATTCGGTTGAGCTTTCATCTGTCTGTTACGATTTGATTTATTATGAAGTTTTCTGCTGATAATTAGTACTTACAGATGACGAGGAATGACCAATTAGTTGAAATAGAAATATTGCGGATTCTTTAAAGGAATTGCCAAAAGAATCAGTCCTTGACCAAAAGAAATGGTGCGGGTGTCGAGTGGATCGATTTCCTCTCCGGGATAATTAGCCGATCTGAAAGTACCGAAAATGTTTATAGCCAGCCTCCACATGTGTTAGCAATTAATTAGAGCGAAGCCGCCGTGCGCTGGGCATCCGCCAATCAACACGGCAGGCGCGCTCGACTCTCTCGCCATGTAGCCACACTCTGCCAGCAGTACTTGAAGTTCACCACTATCAGCTCGAAAGACCTCTCGAGATTAAGACTGATAGTTGAGTGACTAGGCTGACCCATCAGAAGTTAGGCAATTGCCCGAAATGTTGGGACGCGCCATGCATCTGGCCCCCATCCGAAGTTGTTTTGAAGGCCTTTATGAACACTGTGCGGCTTTCCACACACATGATAGCCTGCGCAGGAACATCTGATGTTCACATCAATAGGCTTTATGTCGTCGCGAAGAAATCTGACACCAGCCAATCGACCTTGGCAGTGATGTGGAATGACCATGGGCCACATCGACGGTTTATTTCTAGCGATGCTGCTATAGATTTGCAACTGTGCATGACGTACTTAAAGCTTTGGCCACATAAAGGTATTTACCTGGCAACGGATTAGATAGAGCATTCGCCGTTGAACAATCACCTCTTTCGAGATCTACCACTACTTGTACATTCGTAGTGGCATTTGAATGCGATGTGGCCTCATACAATGACTTGTGGGGGCCAGCCGATGTACAAGTCAGTGTGTTTTTATCCTCCCAGACAAGTCTGGTACCAATTAGCCGACCCCGGAGGGATGGAAGGCTTGGTTGGCCCCGGCGCACGCTTGCACTTACCGTTAGATTCGATAGACCTTTTGATCTTAATTCTCGCGCGCGGGTGAGCGTGTCCACTTCCAGCTTACATTCCACTGCCGCCAGTAGTTTTGACCTCGCACCACAAGTATCTCCTTTCCATTCTGAGAGAGGCAAATAGCTGTTATGTCCTTCGACGGTATTGATTCGCGTTGGGCTGTTCGAATGCTATTCTGATGTAGATCCGCATTATGCGTCGCCTAATGCAGGATGAAAGGTGACGCAACAACAAAATAAATTTAAGGGTGACATGCTCGAAGCACAACTACTATTGACTGAAACCTGTGTTTGGATTCTTCGATTTCATCTGGCAATACAGCGCTTAAAATTACTCGTACAACCAATGCTCTGAAGGAGAACAAGCTGGTTATCCAATGTGCTCCAGCGCCAGCGGAGCCCATTAGACGCTTTAAGTCACGCTGTCTCGGTTCCTCGGCAGCTGATCAGATTTAGTCGCCTGCCGTGACATTGTCTGCCACGTAGGCATTACGTCAAGCTGGAATGCTAGAATGCGCAGTCGTGGCCCCTCAAAGGTGCCGCGTCGCACTTGGTGATCCAAACTCGCCCAGGTCAACTATGCTTCCTTTCCATCACGGTTGGTTGCACAAATTGTTCCGGAGGCCAAAAACGCTGACTTGAGCACACGTTGGCCACGAGTCATTGTATGAGCCAGATACAAATTCGAATGACTCATTGATCTTTAGCCGAAACCAAATACACGGCGTAATCCACAAGCATGTCAATGCTGACAACTTTGTCGTTTTACTCTCTATTTGAACTTCTACCTCAAAACTCCCTCACATTCCTATTTTCCTAGTACTAACCCTGAAAGCGGACCCAAAAACAGCCTTTGTAGGATGGAAACCAGCAAACAAAACGTGATCAGTATTGCCCGACGACCTTTGCTGTTACGCTCAAAGACGAACAGATCTCTTTTGCCTAGCCATATTTTCGCTTATGACTAGAAAAAGTTTATCATCAGATTATAATATTGTTATTATATATACACATAACAGATAAGTTATAGAACAATCCGCGAGGTGTTAA